AAAGTGTTTGAGAAAAATTTAGAAAGAGTGCTTTCGTGAAAAATGTAGAAAAAGCACTTTCGTAAAAATTTAGGAAGAGTATTTCCAAACTACTTCGAGGTTGTGAGAAGAGTAGATTCTGCTCAGCCACTAGTTTCTAAAAGTAAAGTCCTTTTCCTCTTGTTTTGCCCACCAGCCTATGGAATTGTGCTAGCCTCTCTCTAACCCTAAAAAGTCAGAAGACTGCTACTTCCCAGCTTTAGAGAAGAACTTTGAAAACCTACAGAGAACCAGTTTGGCTGTAGAGACCCCACCCAGGCAGAGCTGAAGGAATTGAGAGACAGACTTCCAAATAGAACAGCAAAGTGGGCCCTGTTTAGGGGGTGCCAGCAGCCTTCACAAACTGAGAGCCTCCCGGACTGACAGCATTTCAGGCTGAAGGCCCGGAGGAGACGCTGATCCACCTATTTATTTTCTCTGAACAGGTGATTATTATTAACAAACAGTTGTTCTGTATTTTCTCATAATACAGAAATCTACCAAGTAGGCAGCTGTTGCCCGCTTACCACTGATTACAAACAAGCTAAAAGGTATTCTTCACGAGGGAGCCACGGGGGCAGGGTCAGATAAAGTCAAAGAATTGTTTTAACCGGTGTATGATATTTATACATTGTCCTGCCACTTTGGAATGCCCCAGGTAGTTTTCTACTTGGGGGGCTCGGGGGGTGCCAGCTAGGTTTTCCTTGCCATCGTTCTTCCTAGCAAACAATATATTCTATCATACACTCAGCATTCATCAATATTCAAAAACTTAACATTTCTCAACACAGACCTTTATAGAAGACCTACAAAAGCTATTTACAGCTGTGCATCCAATTGCAGAGACTATGTGTGCATCTTGCATTGGATTAAAAAAGAATAAAGTCTTTTACACATTTGGAACTGACCTTGTATACCCTTTCTAAAGAAAAAAAGTATGACACTATAAACTTGACAGTAATTAAGTAAAAACATTTACAACAGTCAAATAGCAGTAAAATGGATCATATTCAAAATACATTTTTCTTATAAATTAGTAAGAAAAAAATACCCACAAATAACCCAATAGGAAATAAAAATTGGCAAAGCACATGGCCAGGTAATTCACAAAAAGAAAACCTGGACAACAAGTAAATACAAAAAGATGCTAGATCACACCAGTAAATCCAGGAAATACAAACTGAAATGAGAAGACACTTTTGCTTATCTATTAGGTCACCAAAAATTTAAAAGTCTGACAATATCCAGTATTGAAAAAGGTACAGAGAAGCAAGCAATCAAATGCATTGCTAGTGAGAAGGTAAATTAGTGCCATCGTTGCAGAGAGTAATTTGTCAATATGCGTTAAAATTAAACATGCACTTAGTATGACACCCAGAAATTAAAGTTCTAGGTAAACAAACACCTTAGAAAAATTTGAACGTGTGTATGAGAACTAGAAACTTGTATAAGCACGTTTATTGTGGTATTGTTTGTAGCAATTTAATGTCCATCAACAGGTATAGGAGAAGGCATAAGAAATTATTTTATTCATATGGCAAAATGCTACATAGCTAATAAAAGAAATTGATTATATTTTTATATTTTAACATATAGCTCAAAAACATAGGTTTTTTTTTAAAAAAGGAAGCTGCAGAATAAGTAGTATGATACCATTATGTATATTTTATAATGAACATATAAAAATAGCATAAATTGCTTGTGAAAACATGTGTTCATGTGCATGTATAAATAATTGGAATCCAGACCTTTAATCACGTTCACTGGAATCAGGAGGAGAGGAGGTGAATCAGGCATGGAAGACAAAAGAAATTTCAACATTACAAAACATGAGAAAATTTTATTTTTTGAAAAAAAATCTTGAAAGAAATATGACAAAATGTGGACAATTTTTATTTCTAAGTGCTGGGTACATAAATGTTTGTTAGATAATTCCCTCTACATGTTGATAATTTTTTAAACCCTCAAAATCAAAACAAATGTGATGTTTCTATTATGATTTCAAGGGTGATTTTGATCATCATTTGGAAATGGAATATTTTTGTTTCCCACGTGTCCTTTGTAACCAGCTCCAATCTGAGGAGGCATGTTTTCAGAATGCAAACAAGCCCTTGTGTAAGTGCATCTGTCTGCTGACCTGTCTGAGGGCTAACTCCTGGCTCTCCAC